TGATAATAATCGTTATATATCAATTAAATTACTCAGATATGTATCGATGCATAGCACTTAAAAAATTTTCCTGATGATGTTAATACAGGTTCGCCTTGTTGCATTATAGATTACTCCATAATTTTCAGATTGCAAATTTGTATTACTATAGTATTCTGGTATTCTGATATTTTAGATTACAAAACATTTGAGATCTAGACCTAGTTGCAGCTTGCAGTCTGTAATACTTCCAATTTCAGCCTTTAGTATTAATTGTTAATTTTTAATATACAAGCCTGATTTGTATAATTATAATACCAGTCTAGTAAATCTAGTCATTTTGAGTTTTTATTACATACTCTGAGTTTTAGCCTTCTCACTTTATTCTTTTTTAATAGGTCTAGTGGTTTGGAGTTAGAGAAGGTTCTAAACTTCAGCTAAACCAATCTGTTATCACAAGTCTTACTACTTCAGTTTTATTACTCTCCTAATCAGGTAGCCTAACTGATAAGGATGTTGGTGCTGCTTCAGTTACTCTTAATTGAGAACTATATACATAACCTTTATATAACAGAATATAGTGCCACTATTCTACAATTAAACCACTTTTCAGAAATTTCCTTTTCTGATTTTGTACTTGCACTTGAACTTAATCACAGAGCTCTGCATTCAATTATAGCCTTCTACTGGGTTATAAAAGCAAAAAATCCTAAGATTTTTACATTTAGCTTAGCTTAAACCATTGATTTAATCTGTAAAAATTAGTGACTGTATTTGTATATCTACTACATTTGTGTTGTTTTGTGTATTTGTATTTCTCATGATTGTTGTATTATTGTTGTTGTGTTGTTTTGTATAATATATAATGTTATAGTATGTTTGGCAAAAGTAAGCTATTTTGTCTATTTTTTGTTAGTTTTTTGTAGATCATAAAGATGAGTATATTGTTATAATGACATCTTTTACTTTAAGCTGAAGTTTGTTAATTATTATTTATATTCTGTACTTCTTGATTGTCCATACTGTTATCTATTGGTAGCTTAGGTGTATATATTAGTATATATGTATTGTTTTGCTTTTGCAAAATATTTTTCTTCTACCAAGTCTGTTAAGAACTAGTTGTTGTTGTTTTTAGTTTTCTTGTTGTATTTTTTGTATTGCTATTGTTTTGTTATTATATTAGTTGTTGTATTGGTTGCTCTTTTGCATTTTGTACTAATTTTGTTTATGTTCTAACTTTATTTAAATCTTTTTTGAATATTTTTCTTCTATTTTTTATTATTTTTATAATTTTTGGGTAATTATCAGAAAGAATTTTTGTAATTTTTTTTATTATGCTTGTTTTTTCTATTTAATAGACAATCTATTTGTCATCTGAAAAAGATCTGCAAATTTTATAAATAAATTATACTATTGAGCTAAATATAGAGATATTATATCTAAAACCTTTTTTTTTACTAAGTAAATCACTCTTAGATTCATAATAATATTATAGAGCTTATTAATATACATCTAATAGTGATAAGAATATTAAAATTAGCCTAGTAGTTTTTGAGAAACCTTCAAAAATATTTTACTGATATACAGTCAGACCTCAATATAGTCACTCTTGATATAGTTACAACCTTATATAGTTATACTATTTCTTAATCCTAAATATTATAAAACATATAAAATTTAATTTTAATATAGTTATATCTTTTTATAATCATCAAATATTTGTTTCTCAACCTGGTAATTATATTGAGGTTTAACTATATAAAATTTCTTTAAAAAAAAAGAAAGAAATTTTATATATTAATGAACTGTTTTTTGAAGATTTCTCAAAAACCACCAGGCTAATTTTAATGTCTTATCATCATTAGATGCACCTTAATAAGCTCTACAATATTCTTTTTTTTATAATTCAGTAGTCTTGCCACTTTTTATTTGCTGATTAAACAATATTAAGAAATTTATATTTCCTAATATTAGCTATACTAATCCATCTATAAAGTAGCTTACCCATGCTTTTGCCAAATATAACTTGCCTCAGTGAACTTCAAGCTTTTCTCCAGCCCCTAACTTACTAGAGGTTATCTTTTGATCATGGGTTAATGCTATATACTATATCCAAATTAACTTTTCTTTTAACAAAATGAAATACAAACACAAATGCAAAGGGTAAAACAAAAATAGGAAAATACTATGGTGTCAATTTCTGGTTCACCTAAAACAATAAAACTAAAAAAAAAACAAATAACAAAAAAAAAGAAAAAACAAAAGAAAAGAAAACAAAGATAATATTATTAAATCTGTACAAGATTGTAAAAATTATATAGTACTACAAATAAACTAGACTAAACACTACACTAGTTATTTATGTCTATATTCAGGATATAAAAATATTAAAAACTATTCAGTCTTGAAATAGAGCTTCAAGGGTCAAAACTTCTAATTGCTATCTCAAATCTGTCAACATGACTTTTGCAATGTTTCAAATATTATCACGTTATCTTACACTATAATCAAAAGTAGATATGTATATGTATATATATTTTTTCTTTTTCAGCAGCAATTGTTATTATCGATCTTTTGATAGAGATACACTGTTTTTCTTACTTTTTGGAGAAATTTCATAAAGACCAAGAGTAGAGATATGGAAGAAAGTTTCAGTTTGTAAGTAGCCTTAAACTTAAGTAAAGAATGTGTTAAAAACTCATTTGTTGTTCTCCTTAGACCAACTATCTTTAACTTTATCAGCAGAAGCAGAGCTTCTATTAAAATTTTTTATATAAAGGTGCTACCTTTTTGCCAGTTATTTTGTACAAAAATGCTTTTAACTTGCATACTAAATATATAAAGAAGTCTGGAGAAAGAATATAATAAGCCTTAACCTCTGTAAAAACTATTATTTGTAGTTGTCTCTTCTGCTTTTTCCAACAAGTTTCTGTTTTCGTTAATTATAAGTTTGGTACAAATGATCATCAGAGAGAGTTGCTTTTGAATGAACTCTACAACCTTTATTATGAGCTTAAGAGTAATTTATTTAGTAAAAAAAGTTTTAAATATAATATTTTCACATTTACTAATTGAAGAATTTATTATAAATCTTATGTAACCTACATCACATAGCTTTTCAAATGACTGGCAAATCATCTATTAAATGCTTTTTTTTGTAGATTGAATTGATATTGAGAAAATAAAAAGAAGGTTTTTAAATATTAAAACTATTGATTGAAACTAATAATACTTTTTTTTTTTAATTTTGGCAGCCTTGCTGGTATCTTTATTAGATCAAAGCATATACATATACATATATTTAACTATCTAAACTACAGATCCAACATTTTCTGACTACTCTATTGAGTGCTTAGAGACAGTCTGCCTTACCGGTTGAGGCAAATTACTTGCACCGGAGGGCTACACCAAGCTACCCTGTAAAGCCATATCAGAATGGCTTCGTTTTATTTTAATAAAGCTTTTTATAGCTCCTAACCAAGTACTTTTTTTTCTTTAATTTCCTCCTCTTTACTTTTATCATTTTCTTTTTTCTTAACTTTACCCTTGGTTTGATCTTAACTGTTTTCTTCTAACAAAATCATTTTTTTCTCCTTAATACTGAATTTTGACTTTTCAAAAGTGGTGTTTTTCCACTTCTTTCCTTTGGGCCTATACCTTTCTTCTTTTCCTAGTCATTTATGTATACACATTTTGGTTTCCAAATATTTTCATAGAAAAGATTCTATGCTATATTGATCGCTATATCCAAGTAGTTTCTAAATTCTTTTAGGCTTTCTAATATTTCAAGGATTCTTTTTGCAACCTCTTTCTTGATCAACTCTTTAAGTATACTGGCCCTGGCTTCAATCCTTTCTTCTTCTGATTAACCCCAAAGAATCTTTTGGAGTTGAGCTTTGTCTTACTGACTGTGAGTTTCTTCTGATAAGGCTGTCCAGGCTAAGTTTGAGGCTAGTTGCTCCGCATCTTTCCATTTGGCTTCGTATTTTTTACAAGTTATCAGGTGTTCATGGTCTTATTATACACGCTAAACTATTATACAGTTCTGGTTTTCTTGCTAATAATACTTTTAATAGTGGTAGTTTTCTATGCAAGCATTTAACTAGCACACCTAGATGTTTATTTTTCTTTGAACTTGTACATCATATATCACTTTGATTTCTAAACTTTTTCTATAAAATAGGCCAATATTGGGTTTGTATACTGTCTTCGGGTTCTAATTTTCTTACTGCTGAAGAGGATTTCTATTCTACTCCTGTTTTGAGGTCAAGGATCATTCATAAAAATTTTCTTGTAGAGTCTTTAACTACTGTCTCTTCTCAGTATAAAGAAATATTCGATTCCTGTATAGGTTTTTCTACAATTCTATCTTTATCTTCTATTTTAGATCCTAATCTAGCTAATTTATCTGCTCTATTGTTTCACCTATTGTTACTATGACCTTTAACCTTTTCTAACTCTATATGCAATTCCTTCATTTCTATTATATCTAAGATGCATCTAACTAGATCGTAGTTTTCTTCCTTGAACCATTGTCTAACTGGTCTATTCTGCTGTTTTCCTTCAACTTTAGTTATAGCTACTGCACTATTTGTATAAATCTTGATCTTTCTTTTGTTAGGTGTAATAGCTTCTAACATGATCTGGGCATTGGCCACAAGCAGAAGCTGTAGGCTTTCCACAATCAGAGTATGGTACCTGTTTTTTAGCTTTCCAATGAAATCGGCAACCTTCTGGGCGAATGCAAGGGTTATTACAAGCCTTTCCAGTATTGCAGAGAAATGGGCAAGAATATTCACCGATCATCCTTTTTTTTATTACTAGAATCGAAAAGATTAATTAATAATTAGTTAATGCTTCAGTTTTGCAATAGCTAGAACCGCTTTGGAAAGCTTGTAAATACTTATCTTCGGTAGGATTTCTATAATCGAAAAGTGATATGTATATAGGAAATAATTAATTAAAGAAAAAATTATTTAAGCAAGTAATAGTGCGACGGTTAGAGCTAACTAATATACCAAATGTCGGATGCTTACCCAGAATATATAGAAGAATTTAGTATAGAGATATCTGATTTCAATCCAATTGGCCCTACTGCCCATATACCATTACCTGAAACTTTGCCAAAACGTAATAACAGAATTATAAATATTCAAAATGATGATGACTGGTGTTTTGGCTGGAGTGTCCTAGGAGCTTTGCATCCAGTTAAAGTTCATCCAGAAAGAAATCTGCATCGGCTATATGGAGGTTTTGTAGAGGAACTTAACATGAACGACATTCCAGTTCCGGTACCTGTCTCAACACCAGTTTATGAGAAATTCGAAGAAAATAATCTAGAGATTAGTCTATGTGTCTATGAGTGGCATAACCAAAATGAATGTCTTGAGTTTCGCTATGTTTCAGAGAGAAGAGAGGAAGAATATAAGCAAGTAAATCTTCTAGTAATTACGGAAGAGGAAAGAAGTCATTACTGCATAATCAAAGATTTACATAAGCTAGTATATAACCATAGCAAACATAAAGGGCGAAAATATCTCTGCCGATATTGTCTTCATGTATATTCTGCAGAGAAAGGATTAAAGAAGCATATACCAAAATGCAAAGGTCTAAATAATGCTCCTCAGCAACCTCAAATGCCAGTAAAAAATAGGAGCGTCAAAGCTTTCTATAATCATAAATGCATACAACCAAACCCATATCGTATTTTCTGGGATCTTGAAATGTTGACCGAAAAACTAACTCCAGAAGAGAAAACGAAGTTAACCCACACAGAAAAATTACAGATGCACAAGCCGTGTGGCTATTGTTATGTAGTTGTTCATATGGATAGTTCACTTAACTATGAGATTATAAGTCATGATCTATACAAAGGCCCAGATGCGCTTGAAAGATTCGTTATAAAAATCGAGGAGGAGCTGGCAAATATACAGGAGGATTTATCAGCGCCTGCAGAAATGATCATGGCACCAGGTGACCTGGAGGCATATAAAGAAGCAACCGAATGCTGGATTTGCAAGAAACCTTTTATCAAGCCATCACAAGAAATATTGCAAAAATTCGAAGAAGCAAAGCACAAATTATTAGAAGCTAATGAATGGGAAGCAAGCATGGAAGAAGATCATCTAGAAAAGAAAAAGATACAGAAAGAATACAAAGAAGCTTTAAGTGCACTTAATCGAAAAGTAAAAGATCATGATCATATAAGTGGAAATTACCGAGGTCCAGCTCATGACTCTTGTAATAAAAAGTTGCGTATAGGTTCTTTCGAAACAAAAGTATCCCTAATCTGTCATAATTTCCGGGGGTATGACTCTCATCCGCTTATGAAAGTTGTGAGCAAGTTTATGGCTGATAGGCTAAATTGTATCCCTGAAAATATCGGCAAATATAAAGCAATGGACGTAGGACAGCTCCGATTTCTTGATAGTTTTCAGCATATGGCAATGGGTTTAGATAAGTTAGTAGCATGTCTAGGAGAAACCCCAAAAAAGTTCCCCCTAACTGTTAAGCATTTCACAGAGAAAGGCTACTCAATGGATAAGATCAAGCTTCTTTTTCGAAAAGGAGTATTCCCATATAACTGGACAAATGCATGGGAAAAATTCGACAGAACAAGCCTCCCGCCTAGAAAGGATTTCTATTCGCTTCTCAGTCAGCAAAATATCAGTAAGGAGGACTATAAACATGCTCAAAAAGTATGGCAGACATTTGAGATGAAAAGTTTTGGAGAATACCATGATCTTTATCTTGAGACAGATGTACTGTTACTTGCCGATGTGTTCATGAATTATACTATTATGTGTTTGCAAGATGATGGTTTAGACCCCTCTCATTATGTCTCAGCACCTGGAATGTTCAATGATTCTTTATACAAGAGTAGCGGAGCTGAACTCAAGCTTATGACGGATATGGATGAGTATCTGATGGTTGAGAAAGGTATTTGAGGTGGTATGACAATGGCAAGTCACCGATATGCCAAAGCTAATAATCCGAAATGTCCAGATTACGATTCTAGTAAGCCTACAACTTGGACATTATATGAGGATATGAATGCTTTATATTCAGGTGCAATGACACAATATATGCCAACAGAGATCATAGGCAAGGTAGGTCCAGAAGAGGTACCAGATATTCAAACTATTGCACCTGATGCAGAAATAGGCTATATGCCTGAAGTAGACTTAGAAGTTCCGGCACACTTACATGACTTCTTTGCAGACTACCCTCT